ACCACATGCAGACACGAGCCATTCAAGGGACTCTGCTGGCCTTGGTCAGAGCCCCATAGTGTCCTTAGCGTGCAGTTCTGCAAGCCCTGCAATTGAAAGAACTCAAGACTGCAGAAGACCTGCCAGCTTGTGTTCGACGCAGTTGCAATGCTTCCCAGTGGCGGATGTCCTGGTCGTTGTTCAACTGGGTGGAAGCCTCTCGAAAACACGGGTTTCTTGAAATTGAAACTTTCAAACAGGTTTCTGGAAAAAATCACGCAGCTAAGAAAGATTGGCGAACCGCAGCATTCTAACTTAGGTGGCCTCTTCGTGGCCATAATCCACCTGCAAATCGGCGAGTGGGAGCTCATGAAACTGATCGGCTCTGACCCAAGCAGAGTGCGGCAACATGTCTGACCCCAGTCTGCCAAAGCCCCTGTGTTGGTCAGACATGCCTTGAAGACCATCGGCCAGTGCGGCCAGGGATTGTGCGGAGCGCGCTGCTTCGGGGGCTTTCCCATCAGCTCAAGGTTCACAACCTCCGTCGTGCACAACTTATATTGATTCTGCACAAAACAAGCTAAGGGCAAAGGCAAAGGCACGTCGCGCTGTACATTGACCGAACATACGGGCTGAGTCCGACACGGACTTGGCACCCTGACGCACAGCTGTGCCGATACAGTCGTTGCCGGTGTCACCACCTATGACAACAGCATCCAAAAAGATGCGAAGCAACCACATGGAAGCAACGTTTGCAGCCGAACACGCCGCAAGTTTGTCAAAACCGAGGGCATCAAAGAATTAGCTCATAAAGCTGACTCGTTAACAGATGTTAACAGGTCCTGGCCTCCGATGACAATGACTTTCCTGTCCTTGGCGTCCAGCGTCTTCGGGTCGAGGCCTTGTGCCGATGAGAAACAAAAGTTGCCAACACTTTCCAATGCTGCTTAGGCTTCGCTGACCTCTGCGCAAACTTTCTTGCAGTCCAGTTTGCCATTCTTCTTTGCTCCCCACCATCGTCGCCACTTGTTGCTAACATCACCACCATCCAGCAGGGCCTGCACTTTGTGGATAAACCTCTGGCTACAGTACACTTGGTCGTCTCTCTCCGGGCCTTGGTATTGTGGGTCAAGTAATCCATCGCCAAGTGAATGCCGCTGAGGTCACGTCCCGGCACCTGGTAAACTTTCTGCTGCAGCAGTGGGCACCATGCTCAACATACTCATCTGTTCGTTGACATCCAGGGAGCTGATTGCATGTCTCGGGCAACAGTGGCACCAACAGACAGCAACACCGCATCATACTCCTTCAGGAAGCTGCAAGAAAGCCAATACAATGGACATCAACTTCAAGACTCCCGATTCGTCCTCCAGCAGCTGCGAAGCTCTCGGACCCATATTTGTGCCTTCGATGTGCGCCTTGCAGAAACTACACACACACATATGGCGCGCACACACACACACACACACCGTGTGCTGTAACATGTCGATACTTATAGAGCACACAGACACCTCGACGCTCTCTGCGACACGCCCGGCAGGGCCAGTGACGAAGGTGATGCCCTCGCGCTTCATGATGTCCACTCCTGGCAGAAGCGATGCGTATGGTAGAGCGATGTAGATTTGCCGGAGTGTCCGTGGGCATCCGTAGGCTGAGCTTGCCACGTCGCTGGACAACATCCATCTTGTCGGTCTTCATGTTGGGCACACCATACATCATGAGTCCTGCATGAAGTTACGTCGGTATGACTTTGTATGTACCATACATCGACATAAGTACAACACTGCCCAAGCAGATTTCATCTGAGGGGGAAGTGCAACACCTCCAACGCGATCTGCTCGCTCAAGGACCGTGACGCGGTGCCCCATCTTGTTTAGCTGATCTGCGGCTGCTAGGCCACCTAAGCACCCAGACACCTCCCACATGGCTGAGCAAAGATCTTCACGGCACAAGGCTCGGCCGCTCACATGGCCCCGAGCCCACCACGACGACCCTGACAACGTGAGATGTGCAGAGTCGCTGACCGCTGATGGGAGATAATCGCAAAAACAACTGCAAAGAAGCCGCTAGCTGCTACATGCCGCATGCTGCCAAGCCTTTTGTCTGTTCGGACCTTGGGCGGGCTTGGCACCATCCAGCCCATCTCGTAAGCCTTGTCGATGATGCTCAGCTCCACCGACTTGATGGCAACCTGAACTTCTGGGACATTTAGGACATCTAGGACATGCATCTACTGAGAGCATCAAGACGCGGTGTCAACTGAGCTTGTTGCTGGATCGTCGATGATCCCCAGTGTGCAGGCGCCTCGCATGCGCGGTTGTCTACAAGTGGAGCATCCAACAGAGTGAGAGGACATTCGGCCTTCGCAAGGAGCCGGGCAAACCCGCCCAGTAAACTCGGGGAAGTTGTTGGTCGCCATGAGACGTTTGAAAGCATCGAACCAGGCACCCTTTCGAACCAGGTCGTTCCATTCCTCGACAAAACTCAACAGCAATTTACGCATAACTGCATAACCGAGTCCACTGGCACCATTTTGTCAGAGCGGTTGGGCCAAGCTGCAGGGATAAGATTGCCAAGTGGGCATCCGGACTTATCCGTTACGGACTGATGGCAGAAGGGCGTGCCACAGTCCATACACCGGGAGGCCTGGGTCTGGACCTCCACCTACCAAATCCATCCACGAGCATCCAGATGCATCCAGAAAAAAGCAAGTCTCAAGCAAACGCCACCTCGTCCTTCTTCGCCAGGATTTCCTTGAAGTCAGCAACGCGCTCCTCCACTCCTCCAACCAGCTACATTCATGCTGCCGTGCGTGAGACATGCCAAACCCCAACTAGTTGGGGGCCGGGGTCTGGAGATTCGAAGTTTGACCACGATCGCAAGTCGTGCAACCGCTTCTTATCTTTGATGGAAGTGCTTGCAGATCCTCGCTTCGGAAGGTCACCACGGTCCACCTCCAAGAAGCCTCAAGAATCAGAAGAATAAGACAAGAGAGAAATGTGTCTGAAGGGAAGGGCATGGCATGGCAAGGCTTACCCATCCAAGAACTCTGGCACTTCACCCCGCTGCCTCGGTTGGAAGAGGCCACCAGCTTGGCGTCCTCGATCCTTTCGAGCACTCTGAGTCTGCCGACTTTAGAGAAACTTCAGAGGCTTCAGGTGATGTCGTTGGCTGATTTGTGGAAGCATGCCAAATCTTGAGGAGGGTCTTCTTTGGGCGGCTTCCCTTCGTCGTCTTCTGGAACAGAGCGACGTCTTCAATGTCCATGCCTTGACATGGTACATAGATTCTAATCATGCAAGAGGCCTGTAGACTCTGCATGCTCACCGCCCGTGCCAATATCCTGTGCATTCAAGATGCTGGCTCCAGGGGCGTCCTCCTCCTGGAAGGAACTCTTCCGAGCCTGGACAACAGAAACGAAGTTTACGGATATGTTATACTGATGAAGCTCTCGCGGAGACCCCTCAAAAAACAAACGCTTCTGGCCTTGGGCTGCTTGCGAATGCGCTGCTTGTTGGAATGGTCATTGAGGACTTCTTGTGCCGGCAGGAACTCGCGCATAGAGCCTCGTTGCCAGCGTTGCTGCCGTTGGCCAGAACCAAACTCGATCTCAAGGTGTGCAGAGGTGTGCAACAGCAGCAGGCGCCTATGGGAGTGTGCTCGCCACGGTCGATGGCCGCCTTGACAGCTGCCTTGAAGTCCTGAAAGGAAAGTGGTGAAGATGCTGTGCTCTGCCAAACCTGGCAAACCTGGCAAACCTGCCCCTGGCAAGTCCTTGGGGAACACCCGCACAAACTCAGACATGCATGCAGGCCAGCGCTTGAGAATTTCGTCGGCTCGCTTGCCTTGGCTAAAGGTGACAAAAGCCACATGGGCCACATGGGCCACTCGAATCTCGTGAGGGATTGTTCAGCGCTTCTGCCTGGCGCTACCGAGATAGGGCGGTCACAAGCAGAGTCACGAACCTTCCTCCAGCACAAAGCGAGGGTTTACGAAAAAAAAAGGGGGCTCCAATGTAGACCCCCAAGTAGTAGGATTCCCTTATAATCAGGACCCAAATAAGGTACCCCTGACTTCGGAAACCCCTAATTAGCCCATGTTCATGGCATAAACCGGCGCTGCTGCTCCACTTGCAGATCAATAGCAGCAAATGCGAGTCTTTGTCCATCTGACTCATCGTCAGCGGCCGGCATGGACATGCCATGGACCGTCATGGCTTTGAAAAATGAGACTTCGTTACGATGCTTCACGTGCACAGCAAGACGTTAGGGCTTTTGACAACATAGCCGTCAATCCCGCAAGGATGCTCCAGCCATCGGACAATGCAAGGTCTTGTGGGTTCGCCTGGGTTTGCCTGGGCTCCGCTCCCTGACTTCGCGACAGAGTTCGACACGGTTCCTGGCTCTGCGATTTCACACCGGGCATGCGCTCGTGGGTCAACCGATAGGGCGCACCCCTCCCCGGAAGACCGAAAGAATGCATAACAAAAAGGTCACACGTGCTGTAAAAACCACTTCATGCAGATTGATGGCTGTTGGTCCAGCTCTTGTGGGCATTCAAGAGCGACTTCAAGTCCTTCGCTGGCTTTCGGTGGTGAGGGAGTTGAAGCAAATTTGATAAAGGGGAGGTCGGTGTGGCTCAACTCTTTGAATTCAGGCCAACTGTTTGCACTGGCCTTCTCTTCATGCTGGTACTCCGCGGGGGGTGCATCGGCGGCAAGGCGCCCGACTTCCAGGTCCTGGAAAGCTACAGCTACCGCAACAAAAAGAGTGCCGAGCAGGGCTTCCTCTTCTGCATTGCGTTGTTGTGTCGCTTTTCTCACAGCGGAAAAATGCGCATTAGCAACCGTCAGCAACGACCGATTCTCATCTTTCCACAGACCACAGGAATACTAACCTGTTATTGTAAGCACGTCACGCCGAATGGAAGTCAGGAGGCTTGCGTAAACTAGGTTCTTCCAATTATCTATATCCTGGGCAGGCAGGGATTAATCTATAAATCAAGGTGCTGCTCATACCAACTGGTGTGAAACTAGAATGAGCCTCTAGGATATCTGCATGGTAGGGATCCTACATCCACATTGGCTTTCTTCGGGTGTCGATTCGTCCAAGAAATCCGAGGCCTCGGGCCGGAGGTGTATAGGTTGTCAGAACAGGCACCCCCCTCCAAATCCTCCCCCCCACCTTCATTTTTCGGACCCCTTTTTTTGCCTCTAATGGGTACCCCCCCCAAGGAAACCGGGGTCCGCAAGCGGACGGTTCGCCAGGACCAGAGGCAGTTGAAGCCCTCCCAGCAGGACCCCCCCCCTCCCCCGCCCCTCCCACCCCCCCTCCCCTTCCCGATCCCCCCCGCCCAGAAAAATATGGTGAGCGGGCTCAACTGGTGTGAGCACGGCCCAACATGCATTACACGAGCCGAAGAGTCCAAGCTGGAACCTAAACCTTAAACCTCAAGCCCGAAGCACTCAACCCTCAAACCTTCAACAAAGCCCCCTCCCCCCCCCCCCCCCCCCCCCCCCCCCCCCCCCCCCCACCCCCCCCCCCCTCCCCCCCCCCCCCCCCCCTGAGGGGCCTGGCTCAACCCTACGATCAATCCAAGCCGAACCGTCTCTTGAACCCTAAACCCCAAAAAAACCCTAAACCCCAAAGCGTGAACCTTGAGCCCTAAGCCCTCAATCCTAAACCAACCCTCAACCCTAAACCCCAAACCATAGACCATAAACCCGGAACCCTAAACCCTAAACCCAACCCTTATTGCTTGCGACTTGGGCGCTGCGGAATCACCATGCTCACGCGGATGCGCTGGGCCGGGCCGAGGCGGGTCGCGTAGCGTTAAAAATTAGGCCGATTCTGGGATTAGGCCGCGAGGGTGAGATCACTCTGCTGGAGTGATAAGCGGAAGCCAAATAATCACCTCGGTAGGTGTAATCATCCTGCAGTAAGACGGCTTGAGTTCGAAGTTCATGTATGGATCGAATCAAGATGGGTAAGTTGCGAGGAGGTCAGGGTGGTACTATCTACGGATTAATGATAGACCTGCACACCTGAAGTTTCACCAAGGTGGAAGAGCTGAGTATCCAGTAAGCGGGGCGGAGTGACTTCGATGCGGCAAAAGCAGAACTTAAGGGCTTCTTGCTAGATGAACTGGTACGTAACCTCTTCTGCCGCGAGGAACTGCATTGGGGGGAGGCACGAGAGCATGGATCCCGTAAAGCGCAAAAGATACGTCTGTCGGAAACTCGAAGGTGCTTGCATGTATCCTCATTGAGCAGCGGGCCTCTTCTGTTTACCCTCAGTTTGGTGGTCAGGGGCACCAGAAAGGAAGACACTATCATGTATCATCAACATCTTTCATGTCCCATAGAGAAAAATCAATAGGAAAAACTCTCTATAAGTCAACACATCTAGCACAAAATGGAGATTCGACATCGTAGAAAAGAGATAAGTCAGGGCAAAAGAGAACAAATGAGCAGAGAGAGGACCACCTTTTCGGAGCGCTTTGGTGTGAGTGCGAATATCGAGTTCCAATCCTGAGTCACGGACCACCAAGGTAGGGTTAATACTAATACAGGCCATGATTACTCGAATGGTATGCTCTGGGACACCCATAATTGTAGAGCGAAGAAATGGCCCAAAAAGCAGCAGAGGCAAAGGCCTTGGACCAATCCAGCATCCATACGGCTCTACGGGTGGAACTTTGTTTACGAAAGCCATTGATATGTTTGTGGGATGACTGCATTGTATGGGCTTAGGAGAAGGTACTTTTTTCAAACCAACACAACAGATGAGGCTGCAAGTCCGACTGTCCGCTGGCACCGAGCGGTTCTCGAAGGTCTTGGAAGGATCCCAGATCCATGTGATCCCACCACTCATTCCTCAGGGGGGCCGGAGCCGGCACAGGCTATTGGGCCGTGGCAGCCGTGACAGCCCTCGCCTGCACCAAAATTGTCTCCGACTTGTCCAAGAACAAGGACACGCCCGCCTGCTAGCTGTATCGCACATGTAGGTCACTGTAGTTCTCCATGTCGTGCGGTCCCCCCACTATGTCTGATGCAATGCGCCTGTCATGTACTCGCAACAATGGTCGCCAGCTCCCTCCACAACGGCCCAGGCACCCGAATTGCGCACCTTGACATAAATCAACCCCAGGAGGAGGAGGAGGAGTGAGTTCTCCATGAAAACTATCACCCACTATCATCTGCACACGAACTACCTTGGCCTCGGCATGCAGTAGCACCATCATATGACTCGCACCAAACGTGCTGACGTAACTGGATCACACTAGATGACAAGTGCGATGATCTTAAGGGCAACTGCATGATGAGTGACGAATGTGTGGGAGCCTATGACCCGAATGTCAGCTGTGGCGCTGCAAATCGCTCCGCAGCGATGCCATTCACGAAACAAACGCCCGACGTTGCTCCGTACAGCGCCTGAGCAAACGAAAGCAAGCGCTCAGAAGCAATGTATAGCATTGGCATCAGTCTCTGCTACCTTCTCTTGAGCTCCGCGAGAGCATTGAAGCCATCAATCTCAGAAGAGGGGCTGTGTTTCCAATGATGATGTTCTTTGCGGCATCGAAGCCTTCCTCCACAGCCTTGTCAGCAGCAAGAGCGTGGTGATTTCATTTAATTCCCATACATACATCACATCCTTGCAACACTCTTGATGTTTGTCTGCAGCGGCCTTCTTTGGCGGGTACACAACAAGGGCACCACCGCTCAAGCCCTTGCCGAAGTAGTCCTGCACGCATCAACATCAACACACATCAGCACTGCCAATCAGCCGTACAGCAACACCACAAACGCCCATTTGCGTCGACCACACTCGGCCAGGCCTGAGAGTCACCCTCCAACTCGAGCAGCACGCCCTTCACCGAGAAGGCCCCAAAGGACTGTCCCGAAGTGCCAAATAGCTTCCTCAGACGGTGACAGCATGTAACAACAGCTGCATACACACTGCATACACTGCTCCACAAGTCGCCCTCATGCTGACGCATGCAAGACTTCATGCAAGCTTCATGTGGCACGTCCCAGGAGGAAGGCTGCTACCCCAGCGCTTGAAGATCCTCAGACACAACCCTCGAGATGGAAAGACATGCCTGCCCACACTCACCACAAGGTTTTCCAAGAAGTGGCAGCACACAGTTTGTCGCAGCTTGCCAAGGGGCTCATGAGACAACAAGGTTCCGCAAGTCCGGTCAGCATTGTTCAGATGATGGTACTGAACATAGGAACGCTCGCCGTAGCGGAAAGTCATCTTGCAGTCCTGTCAACCACAGATTTTTAGACAGTAGGACCCAGATTTGCAGAACAGGTTGACAAGTTGCAATCTTCCGGCCTCCACTAATGTGCGGTCGATCATCCTCTGCAGAACCATGAAGTGCTCCTGGCCATAGAGCTTGCGATTCTCGATGTTGCCTTGCGGTAGCGCATGGCATGCATCCACGGCAAGCAAACCACGGCAAGCAAACTGCCAGCATGTCAAGTCTCTCGTTCTACTCATTCTACAAAGCAAGATGCCCATTTTGCCGGCATCAGGCAGCTGGTGTGCCGCCGCCAGGATCGGGTCCAGCAACAGAGGCCCAGTGCGGACTGCGGGATCCGTGCGCAATACCTCGAACCGCATGCTATGGTTCTTACCAAACGTGCACCATCATCAAGTGGGTTGTGCCATGCTGTACTGGCCTCAGCATGGCCAATAAGCTCGTCCATGTTCCGGAACCCCATCTTTGCCATCAGCACTCGCACCTGACACATTGACTGACCGTGTTTCCTGTACATCTAGAATCCTTAGTGTGGAGCACGTAGCAGGTCGCTAATGATCTTCCTTGCTTGCTTCAGGTTCACTATGGCACCCTCCATATGCCTCCTCAGCAACGAGCATGAGGTAGTTCACCACGTGCTCTGGCAGTCCCTCGAACTTCTTCCGCAAAACAGGATCTTGCGTTGCGATTCCGACCGGGCATGTGTTGAGGTGGCACTTGCGCATCATGATACAACCCATAGCAATGAGCGGTGCCGTGGCAAAGCCGAAGCGCTCGGCTCCCAACAGTGCAGCGATGACCACATCACGACCAGTGCGGAGCTGTCCATCAGTCTCCAGAGTCACGCGACCACGAAGGCCGTTCAGCACCAAGGTCTGGTGAGTCTCGGCCAAGCCGATTTCCCAAGGAGCGCCTGCGTGCTTGATGCCTGTCCACTTGGATGCACCAGTGCCACCATCACATCCACTGATCAGGATGTGGTCTGCCTTCACGTTGCTACAGAAACATTCCAAGAAATGTGCGAACCGTCTGAGATCAGAGTTTATTTGCAATCAGCTTGACAAAAAAGGCGCACATTCAACACTGCAAGCTGTGAAGTTGCCTCAGTCCTGGTTGGTCCTTCGTGGTTCATTTGCTTTATGAAGCAGCTACATGTGGACGAGAAATGCTCGTGGCTGAGCCCCTCGGCGATTCCTCAGTGTTAACATTCCCTTGTTCAGTTGCATGCTTGCCCACCCGCAGCTGCCAACAACTGTCCCATTCTCATGGAGACGTGCAGCTCGTCAGGCTAGCCACATAGTGCTATGCTAATAGCAACAATCTACAGCATCTACAGAATCTTTGGCACGGGACTGGGGTACATGCTGCGGATGCTGTGCTAGCAAATGGCCTTGCACTTCGCCACGCCAGTGGCCACAACGCCGACTCCGATCTCACTCACCAACTTGACACTGACACCTGCATCCGGGTTTGAGTTCTTGAGGTCGAAGATGAGCTGAGCAAGGTCCTCGATGGAGTAGATGTCGTGATGGGGTGGAGGCGAGATAAGGCCAACCCCAGGGGTGGAGTTGCGCGTCTTGGCAATGCCTCCATGCACCTTCTTTCCTGGAAGCTCTCCACCTTCACCTGGCTTTGCTCCCTGAGCCATCTTGATCTGCAGCTCTTGAGCATTGGCCAGGTACTCCATCGTCACACCGAAGCGGCCCGATGCCACCTGTTTGATGGCTGACTTCAAGGAATCTCCATTGGGTAGCGGCTCATACCTTCAGCAGTGCAGACCGAATGGACCCTGGAAACACTGAGCCACCCCACCGCAACCTGCTACCTGCTACGCATGAAAGCATCAGCAAGCCTGATGGGAGCTTTTCTCAACCCTCAGCCTCAACGGATCTTCACCTCCCTCGCCAGTGTTGGAGAATCCACCGAGCCGATTCATTGCGATCGCAAGCGTGCTGTGGGCCTCTCCATGTCCAGGTATCACAGAAATGCCGGAAGCAATGACGCAGCAAAAGCATGAGGCTTGACACACGCCCTTCCTCCATGGAGATCGAGCCGTAGGACATGGCACCTGCTTGTCTGCTATGCGCACGGCTTTAATACGAGTCCGGTATTCAAAGGTTTCAACAGAACACACCGACAGACAGGCAGACAGACGGACACTCAGACAGGCAGGCAGGCAGGCAGGCAGGCAGGCAGGCAGGAAGACACACACACACACACTCTCTCTCTCTCTCTCTCTTTCTCGCTGGCATCACACGCTCCCCCAACCTGTGCGGAACCGCTTCACAATCTCGCTTGCTGGCTCTACAGCTTCTAGAGGAAGTGGTGCTCGGCCGTACTGCCTCACAACAGTCACAACACGCTTTCCGCTGCCGTCCCTCTGCACACGGACTGTTTCGAAGCGATGGCACAGACTTTCGTTGCACAGCCGTCGTGGTTATGTTGACATGAGGTCTGTGTGTCGACGCTGAGCAGTTGTGCTATGTGCTGCTATGTTGTATTTGGGTCTGCTCGCCCTTGGGGCCGTAGTGTCTTCTGAGCTAGATCAGTCAGAGACATGTCTACGCTGTACACAGAGTATATGCAATCTGATGCAAAGTGTATCTATATATGTATACACTGTACTATATATATATACACATATATATATATATGCTGGTTGCAAAAGCCCTACCTTGGTGGCTTGAAGTCAAGCTGGCCACGGATCGACGAAGCTTTGACCTGCACAAGGGCAGCCCTTGACTTGCCGAGCACGAATCCAAGAAGGCATCGGTGTCTGTCCAGAAACCAAGTGCGGGACCAGATTGTTGTGAAGAGTCGCAAAGGACGCATAAGCTGCGCGAGAGTTTGTTCTGGCAGCCTGGCAGCCATTTTTGTATCTCTCAAACATGGACACATACAACATGATGCGATGTGCTGAACCTCCTGAAGCTTGGCAATCACCATCGGATCGTTGAGGTGCTTCTCGGCATCGGCTCCTGGTCTCGTGGCAGATGCACAGTAGAGACAAAGAGGCAAACAGGAGGCAAGAACAAATGGCCCCCCTAAGAACAAGCTCCTTGACGGTAGTGGTATTTGCCTTCGTTGGGCAAGCTGGAGAACAAGCTCTTCACCTGAGTCACCCCGGAAGTGGATCTGCTGCACACAACCGGCAACACAAAAAGGAGCCAAAGAACAAAAGAATGCTCTGAAGTGAGCAGGGCAAGTCACGGTGTAATTGCCGTCGGGAGAGAAGCCACGATCATGAACCGTGAGCGACCGCAGAGCAATCTGCTCAAAGCCGAGGCCACCAAGCTGACTTGCAATGCCAGTGAAGCACATCTCTGCCACTTCCTGGCAGGGTGACGCAGCCACGACACCCTTGAAACACATGCAGCAATGCATGCGGCTTCAGCTTTCAGATGTTGGGGCACATCTCTCCTTGCCCAGACCAATGGCATCTGCGATCTGAGCACCCTTGTAGCTGCGCAGCGTCGAGATGCCCATCTTGGCCATGATTTTCCTGAGAGGATCCCCCATATTTCTAAAAATTGCACTGGTTGCGGGCTTTCCCGGAACCCTGGAACCCATAGACTAAACTTATCTCGTGGCTGCTTGGTGTTGACTGAGCTTCTTGCTGTATTTGTTTCGGCTAGGCTGGACCAAGCAAGGGGGTGCAGCCAAAGTGCAGCAGGCCCTTTCCCACAGCCTTCTGGTACTTCGCGAACTTGTCTTCCTTTGACCAGTCGGCTCCGAACCTTAGAATCTGGTAGCGTCCAACATAAGCTCATAGCAGGCCTACAGCAACAGGAAGCTGTGCACTGCCGCATGCCTTTACATAAGCGCAGGAGCTTGCCCTCGTTTCCCAGAACTTGAATGGCTTCATATGCCATGTAAGGGAAGATGGCATCACAACCGAAGGTGAGCAAGAGCGCCTAAGACAGCACGACACATCCGATGGGCATGGTAAGAAAGAAGCGGAAAGAGTCGGCACTGGGCAGTGTCTTCATGTTGCATCTGGGCTACATGATGTGCCACTTCGAAGGGCTCTCCACTCTCCAGCACCAGTGCAACCTCCCAGCTCAGGCCCTTCAGCCCACTCTTGGCCCCAATGGCTTCTCGCACTTGTATCGTGCTTGGGTTCAGAAAAAAACACATCCTGCTGTGCAGAGTGCTGCAACCTGCCTTGGTGCGGAGCTTCTCAGAAACAAGCGCCTGATGAACAGCTCCACTGATGAGGAGCGAAGGCATCGGAGCGTGCTGTTCAGACACAGACCTGTCGTGCCAGCGTGCATCGACAACTGCTGCATGGAATTTCGGAAACCGTCGCCGTCAACCGGCCTGTCGGAGAGAACGATAATTTGAAAGCCGTTCCTCAGAAGATCAGGAGAATTTGAAAGTAGGCAAAACCGGCATGCTCAAAACAGAAGGAGTCATTCACACCAGAAATATGCCTCGCAGCAACGGATTACAGTTGTCATAGTTGTCCCATTTGACGCCCAGGAATCGGCAAGACTAGATGTCAAACTATGACATGAGCCTGGCCCTTGCATTTAACATCATTTAGCACCTAACACTGCGGTTGAAGCTCTTGGCAGCTGTAGTTGCCTCTTTGCACACACGGGCAAGGTGGCGCTCCATGCCGGTGGCACCTGCCACATACTTCACTGCATACAGTGGCATACGCAAAATGTCCTGCAAACTCTCGGTGCTGACATGTGTTAACTGTTAACGTGTGTTGAACTATTAACGACTTGGAAACTTTGAATGTGTCGTATCGGCTCAAGGCTAAATGACTCAATACGAAACTGCTCTTAATTGGTCACGACCGCACCTTCTGTGACAGGGAACGTCACGTCGCAAGTTTTGATAGTCCAGCCCTTGATGTCCGTAGTGCGAGCTAAGGCAGCCATTTCGGCCTTGGCTGTGGCAAACGCAAGGGCTGCTGACAATGGGCATCCGGGAGCTCTCGACAAAACATGTCCCGAAGGTTCGTCGACTCATTTCGGCTCACAGACATCCTCTACTGAGGCCTTATCACAATTCTCATGTACACAATAAAGCTGCGCCTGTGCTCAGTTCTGCAATAATTCAGCAACTTTGGCCACGGGCCACGGCAATCACATGCAATGATAAGCCATATTGACAGTCAAGCTGTGCTTGTTTTTGAGAAATTCTGCTTTGAAATCCGTTCTATCAGCATCACGTCGATCTCATAAGCGTAAACGAAATGACCAGGGCAGACTGTAAAAGCAAGAAATCGGTACACACTGCACTGCTTCATGCACTAGTCACAAAGCAGATCGGCGTCTACATTCTGAAGCACGAGGTCCGCTTTAGGAGGCTTCCATGGCAACCCTGCGAAGCTTTCAGAAACGACTGGGCTTCGGCTGTCAAGGTGGAACTCACCTTCCGCTTCAGCTTTCCAGAGCCTCTCGTCAAACACGTTTTCCGCCACCGAGGGCTTAGAACGACCCGGCGAGGAGCGCCAACTTCCAAGGCGAGCCCTTAGCGAAAAGCTGTAATGGTTTGGCGCACTTCGGGACAGGCCAGGCCGTCCTGCAAGGAGTAAGTCGCAACCCTTTGCTCTGCTGGAAGGGGTCGTGGGCGAACCCACGAAAAGGTTGGTAACAGGCTTCCTGAATTGCTCGAGTTTGCACTGGGCTGACCCTATGGCCTGGAGGAGTGCTTCCGGCTCTGACGAGGTTTTCTACATAGTAGGCTTCACTCAAGAGGGTCATCTGCAGAGCCAAGTGCATCGGTTCAGGGCAAACAACACGAGGAGCGTTTCTCACATCCCTCTGCGGACCCAGCGGACCCCGACCCCTGTGCAAAAAGGGTTGTTCCAGCAGCATCGAGAAGTCCTCTAAAGTCAAGCCTTTCATAAGCAAAGTAACAAAAATGTTGGTGCTCAAGTATTGTAATTAGAATGAGTCCTTCTCCATTGAAATGAAAAGCGCAATTTTAGTTCATGGCGCTCTCTTTGGCTAACTAAAGGCGCTTTTATCTTAACTAAAGGCTCTCCGCCATTTCTTGTTAGGAGTTTGACATGTGGAATCCTCGAGTTTCAAGCTTAGTATGGCCAGTTAGAAGCAATCGGCCAACTGAATAGTTCTTTGCTGCATGTAGGCCGCCGATCCAAACAATTAGTATAAGGTATACGCATCAAACATCTCTGCATGGGCCAACATAGAAAATCTTGCTATTCCAAACCACGTCGCCGGAAGCAGGCAAGGCTTGTCCAACCACAAACGCTGGCAGTGCTGAGGGCTAGGTGAGCCCAATACATTGGCTTCCGGACCGACCCAGCATCCTGCATCCAGAGCGGTAGACACAATTCACAAAACTGCTCTCGGCAGCCCGCCGTACCATGCCTAGTGACATCACGACCGACTCGCGAATGGGATCAATGGGCGGGTTGGTCACCTGACGCAAAATGCCAGGAGCAAAAGACTGGACAGAGCAACTCTTCAGAAAGGCGGTGAGAAAGGCAGCAACTGCGAGAGGCCCCTAGCGATGCGGCGATGCTGGTACACCCATGGACCGTTCCAAAACCATCGGGGCCTGTGCGAAGAGCTGGTAGAAGAAGTCGAAAACGGGACGATTTTGTTCAGAGAGGCAAGCTAAAGGTGTGTCGTTGCCCATGCTCCCCAGAGCTTCCTCACCATCCTGACGATCCACGAAGTGAAACAGCTACAGTAGATTACATCAACTTGTATCAACTTGTATCAGTTCGGAATCGAAGACAGAAGAAACACAAAAAAAAAAATCTTCGGCCAGGGCGTCCCTGCCCATGGGAAGGAGCAGCAACTCCAAGGATTCCTGCTCGACTCTCAATCCAGACACAAGAACGCAGCACAACGAAACACCGAGAAGCAGCCACGACAATCTAGCCATCATGAGATGTGTCGCCTGCGTGTAGCCAAACGCCCGCAGAAGCGGAGCGCGCAGGTCATCAGGAATTGCTGGGAGCGTCGACGAGCCCGCATTCAGCCTTAGGAAAAGCCAAAGCCAATGGTAGCAACAACACGCCCAGATCATCCCACATGCATCCGCATGCGTCTGCAACATACTGCAGCAATGGCAAGGTAAGGAATCGGTCAAGCAGCAGCGTCTCCATGGTCATTGCTTCATTCTTCAACCAATCGCCCCAAGGCGAAACCGAAGCAAATTTTGTCTTCAGCTCACCGTCCTGGGAGCTGACAGCATCAATTCTACGAGTTACGAGTAGAGGCTAGACCGCCTTGCATACTTCTATGAGCAATTCTATGTTGCGGTGTAGACTGTGAGCTGCTTCCTCATACGCTATAGAAACACACACTCAGACCGACAGCTCAGCAAACATGTGCAACGGAACGCCTGGGTCAGGACATGTTTGTTGAAGTCCGCCCACAGCATCTTGCCTTCCAAGATCATTTACCGAATGGACTGCCACACTCACAACCAAGAGCCAATCAAGCAGTGAGTTCCGCCAGGTTCAAGCTGTTCAGGAGGCCACAGCCTCTCAAAACCTTGTCCCGGCCACTGCACGGCCTAGCCTGGTGACAAGCGCCCCTTGGCAACGATGGTGTCGGAAGGCATCTTCAGCACACCGCACTCGGAAGACACAATCAGCTTGTTGTCTTTGGTCACCTGTATCGTCAATCAATAGGCAGCGTGATCTCAGTCGACGCAGCGCATCAAAAACCAGAGAAGCTGGGGACTAATGAAACAGACAAGCGTCATAATAACGGCACGGCCTGAGCCCGTTCCTGTCGAGCGAGGCTCCTGCAGCCAACAAGGCACACGTCCCATAAGGCTCTGGCAACCCGCTCCAGCTCAACCGACAAGACAGAAAATCTGTCCGACGCCATCACCGTCCGTGAAGCAGACCAATGCTGGCCCGTCCCAAGGTTCCATGATTGCTGCTTGGTACTTGTAGTAATCCTTGAGAGTGGGGTCCATGGAGTCAGAGTTCTCCTGAGTCCATTGTGGTCGTTGCGGATACAAGGCTGGTGTCATCTCACCCGAAGCCGAGCCACCCATGCAGGTGGCATCATCATGGCCACTGCTTCTGGCAGCGTTCGCCCTGCCACTCACCAGCTGGGCACACAGCAGCCGTTTGCGGCTGCAAGCTCACTAGTCGTCTAGACATCAGGACATGCATAGCATGTGCACACAGTGTCGATTGTCACTGCCTGAAATTGTCAGCACTTCCAAGAAGTTGTCAAAAATCCCACTGTCCGTTTGGTCCTTGATACTGGGCGCTTGCAAAACAAATCTGCAGCACAAAGATTGCGTGCTTCGTGCTTGATGTCTACACTGAGCGGGCGTCCATCTCGATCAACGGAAAGCACTGCTCCAGCTCAGGACCCAAAAGGTCGGACTTCATCAATCCTTCACGTGCGCGAGCACAGTTCACATTTCCTGCCAGGAGCATTAAGCTTGAGCTTCTGCTGTCAGAACAAGCAGTCCCCTCCCGTGCGCAAGTGCAAACTCCGTACTTTCCAGATCCTCTACAGCTTCCATCTGTTGAGCGCTTACAAGCTTCAGGAGAGACTGTCCAATGTGCCACAAACCTAGCTGCTTCCCAGCACCTTTCGATTTTCATTTCAGAACATCAAACGCCATCAAACCAGTGTGCCTTTGAGCGTATTGATTTCACCATTGTGGCAAATGTGCCGAAAGGGATGTGCACGCTTCCAGGCTGGGAAGGTGTTGGTGGAGAAGCGGCTGTGGACCAGCCTTGGTGACCAAGCATAAGAATGGTGAATCTGCTGCGCCCTTGACCACAAGATAACCAGCCATGAAGCTGCGACCACAAGTGAAAATCAATGAAACAGGAAGAAAACCAAACACGCTGATGCCGCATGCGAGCTTGCAGCCCTCTTGATCATTCAAGACACTCACTTCAGGGCACAAACTCCCACAACAATCCCTAGCCCATCAACAACAATGACAAGCCTAGCTTCGCACCAAAGCTTGGAACCGAAACCTGTGCCAGAACTATCTCTGACAATCATAGGCCTGTCTTCGACATGAGCCAGTCCCGTATGTCCAACGTTTTTCAGATGCCAACATTTTGTACCCTCTGGCAAATCGACCAAGATGGTGCCAAGATGGTGCCAAGAGTCGCAACATGAGATTCAAAGTCATCCTCCTGCAGGTCCAAGAAGTACCGAACAAGACCTGCACATGATCACACAACAAGACACCTGAGCAGCTGCCTAGCCGATATGCCCAGACGTACGACATACTTGCACCAGGACATGCTCTACCCTTTCAACAGCTCATGAATGAGAAGCGCTCTGCACACGTCCTGCCTGGACATGTCAGCATGCCCTTGTAGTTGATGATTCTAGGAGACAACGAGCACACCTGCCAATGCCAACAGCGTCCACTTCATGCGACTCCCAGCACGCACAACTCGAAAGCACAGGTGAGCAAAGCTAGGCGTCAAGAATAAGTCAAGATACATAGAATGGAAGACCGGGCTGTTGAGCAGCCAGGTTGGCAGCACGCTTGCGGAGAACGAAGAGAGCAGCTTCGAACTTTGTCAGGTCGGTCTTCAAGGCACCTGGCTTAATGTTTTCTTCATGCGGCTTTGGCATGCTACTCATGCTACCCTTCGTTTTCTTCCAACATCAACAACTTCTCATCAAGCAATCAAGAATTTGGTTCCGAACAAACATTGTGCGTCAAGCCACCCTCTGCAGCAATGAACGCTTGCTCGATGGTCGGCTCGTGATCTTTGGCCTCGATTTGTGAAAGTTGGCCGAAACATCTGGAAGAATCGAGCAGACTTTATCCCAATTCGGGTTGAAACTCTGTCTAGCTGTGTCGTTGAGCCATGAGCTTCCTCGTCGGCTCTTTTCAAAGCCGCTGTGATTGCAGCAGTCGGCTAGAGCTGCATGCACATATCATGCGACATGGACTTTGCACTTCCCAAGACATCATTGTAAGTGTGCGCATGCTTGTATGTGTATGTGTGTGTGTGTGTCTCAGCAGCAAGAGGCAGATGTCAACAAAAAAACACGACCGGCGAGCTTGACTTGCTACGTTGACTTCAGAATGTGGAGGGTCCAGTCTTACTGGATCCAAAAAACGGGGCTGAAAGAAGACAAAAAACATCGTTGTCGCCAAGGTTCAGTTTTGCCCAAGCACTCGGAGTCCACGGGCACACGGCGCCATGCAATGATGCGGAGACCATCAATAGAAGCGCACACCCTTAGCACACCAAGACTGAGGATTTGCTGAAAACTACTTGACCAAGAACTGCACCATACCGTCCAGCCGCCAAGTAGTTGGACATGCTTGTCTGACATAGCAAACATCCGAACTACTCTGCACAGCTTACTGTAATGTGCTTTCAGAAATACATGTTATGTCAAGGGCTCCCAATTCTCGCAGCAGCAGCAGCAGCATCAGAAGCAGCAGCCGCAGCAACCCACAGCAGCAACAGCAGAGGACGATAAAGAAAAACAATCTGAGCACTGTTCCTGTTTGTATGCCACTGGCAGGGCATGCAGCACTGTAGCCGCTCTACCAAGTTTCGCAAGACTTACAAGCAGTCGCTCGGCTGCTTACTGCACTGACTAACGCGGCAAGCACTGTCAGGGAGAAACCACCCAGGAACAAAAAACGAGCCAAACCAACGGCAAGAACTATGGCCTGCCACAAGCCAAACAATGAAAACAAAATTGATTATGGCGCTTTTGCAATGACACCATCACAGTCTGCACAATACGGCACTGATCATGTAATGAACAGACAACAAAGGGATCGCAAGCATGTGAAGATGGCTGGACCAATGAGGTCAAGCTGCTGCTCAAAGATCCTTTTGCCTTCTTGAGTGCCATCCTCGCCTTCAGCTCAAAGGCATCGAAAGGCGTGAATACACCAATGCTTCAATGAAGTCAAACGAACACCCTGAATAGTCTGAACGGACACTCAGGCCAAGACCACGGTCAAGAAAAACGTTGCCCACAGCATACCTCGCTTGCCATTGCTCCAATGACTTGTTGTGACAATATGTGACAATGATGTGTCGTGGTTTTTGCAGCTCTGCTACTCACGTGGAGGTGGCAGCTCGACAGACAACTCCGAAGCAACTCGTCGCATGAAGCGATCAGGAATGCCACACAAGATTCCGGCACCGTCGCCGGTGTCCTCAAAGCACAATTGAAAGCAACACAAGGCTAAGAGTGTAGCATGAGAATTGGGATTCGAGTGGAAAGTGAAACCATCTCCAGTCTCCTTCTCACAACCACGAGCACCTCTGTGATCCAAATTCTCCAAAACCTGCAGCCCACACCGGCTCAAGCCCTCCGCGACACAGCGCAACATAACGCAACATATGCATCCATTCTAAGGTTGTACAACAAACCTATGTTATACTGGATTCACTCACGTTGCTTGAGTTGCTTGGCCAAACAAAAACGAGCCCATGGCCTGGAGTGCCCCATCGACAATGGTCCGGGACGGGGTGCCTTGTCAACAGCCGAACTGTCATTATTTCGACGCATTCTGGCCTACGAGCCTGTGATGTCTGCTACCATTCCAACTCCGCAGCTGTCCTGATCAAGAAAATTCCGCCACATCTGCACTTGTTGCTTCTTGGGCTGACGGTCCTTCTCGTTGCGTGGATCATACAGCCCTTGCGCTTCAGGAGTAGCATCAAAGCCACGATACTTCGACCTTTCAAGTGCTCATGCGTTTCAACAATGGACACCACGACGAAGCCTTTGCGACATGACACAAGATGAACAGCAGCCAAGCAACGTTTCCACAGCTGCCATTGTTCTCACAACGCACCCGGAATCAAACACAAAATTGGGCTGAAACAGCGCGGGTCAAACGCAAACACCAACATGAAAACAGTTTCTTCACGTGCCAAAACCAACGCCCCAGTATCGATGTCAATAAACAGCTACCATGCGAGATTGAAAATACTTGGTCATCCCTTCCCTCTGCGTTCTAAGCCAACTACAGAGCCCATCTGCTGTATTCAACTGCGCTAACCGCGAAGGCCCTTGCATTGAAATGCATTTCCTTCACACAAAACACCCCCCTGCAAGGCTCGTTGTTTTGATGCTGCAAACACAAACAAACACCAAGCAGCACACGTGTGCAAAAATGCGTTGTAAGGTTAATAAGTTGTCCACGTCTCGGTTGCGCACGTGCAGCTTGGTTGCTCCGCAAAAGAACTTGCAAACCCTGCGTGGAAAACTGTGAAAGCTGTCAATACTGCGAGAACTGTGAAAACGTGAAAACTTTGAAAATTGCCTATACTTGGCCATTTGCAAAGCCATTGGATCGGTATGTACAAGCTTCGTATATATATATATACATATATGCTGTATACTGTATACTGTATACTGTAAACTGTGTACTGTGTACTGTGTACTGTGTACTGTATACTGTATACTGTATACTGTATACTGTATACTGTATACTGTATACTGTGTACTGTGTACTGTATACTGTGTACTGTATACTGTATACTGTCTCCAGCCTAATTGCAAAGTGAAACCTTTCAACTGGGGCGGAGATTGGCGATTTCCAAAAGCTAGTTGGCGCCCTAGTACATCACCAGCAAGTCTGTAGCCAAATCTGCATGACCTCGATTGATCGCGGGAGATGCGAACACACTGAGCTCTGGGGAGACGGGTCAGGTTGTGGGTCGCAAGGATTTGGCCAGCCTGAATTGGTTGTTGTCCCTGTCTGCGAAGAATGCCCGGATCCTCTGCCCCATTTGCTGTTCAACTTGCAACGCGGCTGTCCTGCAGATCGCCTGCAACTTCTGCACGATGTCGAGCTGCTGCTGGGGGTACAGCGGGAACTTGGTGAAGCAGTGCCTGATGTGGTCCACTACGTCATCCTCCCCAACCGGCGCCCTTCCTTCATCAGCGACTCGCCAATTTCCAGGACTGCGCTGTCCTCTATGGCTAGCAGCTCGACCCCCCTCCCATCTAGCACACAAAGCAGCTCTTGCTCTGCCTAGCTGCCTGTCTAGCCCTCGCACCAGACCCAGCATCGTGCCAGTTCCGACCCCATCTTGCTCTCACCTCCCTTGCTAGTTGGGCCATCGAACTCGGCGGTCCCCTTCTCAATTGATGCTTGGGCTGGGGTTGGGTGTGTAAGTGCTGGGTGCGACCGGGAAGTTCCGTCCCCCGACATTGGTGCCGCTGCTCCACTTTGGTCCCATAGGTACATATTGTACATGAATGCCCGCGCGTCTGGGGTGGGCTGGACTGAGGCCCTCTGGTACTGGGAATTGGGCTTCTTGCAGGGCTCTGGTCGTGATGGCCCAATACAAGACCAGTGTGTCCGGGGACCCCTGCCTCACCACACCGCTAGTTTGTCTGATGCCAATTGTGTGCCCCCCCCAATTGCGATGTTCACCATGTCAGCCTCATGCTGAGTTCTTCTGCTTGCTTGCCCTTCCATGCGAAAGAGCTGAGAGACCAGCGAACTGTCGGCGAAGTCCTTGAAAAACTTGCTGGACTTGTCTTGCGGGCGAAGTGCTCAGGGCCTGGCTTCTATCAACCCTTGACTGCAGGCTTAATGATGTCCCAGAATAACGAGTTCATCTAACTCACTTTTGGCATTTCTCAAACATGCTGCCACACCATTCATTGCGTGGGCTTTGGGGCAGTTGAACGCAATAGACTCTTCTTCACGAGATATTCGTGGAAGATCGCATCACGTCCCAAGCCAAACCCTTGGTTTCTCGGATGGAGGGCAAGTGCTGAACATCTTTGGGCCCTTTGACGTCCCAGCAAGGCTCTCAAACTGTGGCTTGGAGCTGGCAACTTCGACTATCATGTCCCTAGCTTATATAGGTGGTAGCATCACATTTAGAAAAACTTTCGAGAAGCCCACGGCATGATGATGTCCAACCTGTCGTTGGCTTTGAGGTTCAATACCCAGATCACAGCATTTTCTTACGGGCCGTTCAACAGCTCTTCGTTCAAAATGGGCAGCACAAAGGTGCTCGACATGCTGATCAGGTAAGCTCGGTTAGTGAGCCCCGATGATGCTTACAACTTTGGCGCACTAGGCATACCGTCGTTTAGACTAGTGTTGAAAGACGCTGAGTTTGACCAATGGCTCCATGAGGTCACCACCTTTGTCAACGAGCAATTGTTTTGCTTCCATCATCAGCATATATGATGACCAATTAATCCATTCACAAGGTCTTCCAAACTCTATTTGTAGCATTAACTACACATCAAGTGTCAATCGGTCCGTCCATTATTCCAAGCTTGACAAAATTAGGGACATTGGAAAGAGATGGAAGTAGTTGCAGCTCCAACCGGGTGGTTTATTTTAACGCATTAAAATTCGAAACATCTCAAAGAGCACTGAGACGAGTAGTGTACGTTAGTAGCTCGGTGCGAAGCACTTTGCGTCCACGCCAAACAGCGTTTCAGGGAAGGGGTCTGCAACAGACTTGCGCCTGAAACATCTCTTGAAAGCCTTTGGAGCTCTCACTGGACCAACATTCCCTAGATAATGTTTCTGGTTTTCATGTTTCTATGTTGATAATGAGAACTGACGAAAATGCGATTATTCACTAAGGATATGAACGCGCAAAATTAGCGTTGCTTTTGTTTTCTCCAGTTTGTTCTCATGAAAAAATCAGTGCTTGCAATTGGTGGCCGGCACTGAAAATAAGTCAAAGATGCACCTTCCAATCCATTTTGCGAAGTTTTAATAAGCTAATCTTTTTTTGCAACAAATTGTCTGCATTTGGCAAGCATTTCTTGTTGCAAAAGCCAGCTCTTGAATTGCAGCTTGGAAGAACATAGGTTCTTATTTCTTGTAGGAGCATTTGTGCTCTGTGCAGTTTTGATCAGTCAGACTGTTTGTTGTGGACCTGGTCATTAAACGTATGACGCGCAAGGTCGTGCTTTAAGGTTTTCCAAACTTTGTCAGCAAAGCAAGTTGTTTTTCTGCTGGACAGACAGGCTTGCCAAATTTTGCTCATGTCGAAGCAAGTCAAGGAGATTTGACCTTGACGAGCGCTCTTCGATCACACACCGTACAGGTTTTCAGACCAAAAACAAAGAGCACGTTGATGTGATTTGCCTTGCACGGTCTCAAGACCCATGAATCAATATTTGTTTTACTGTCAACAGTCAACAGAGAGTAGGAGTAGCAATCACCATAATAGCCGCTGCACGATATAGTCGTAGACGGCAGTCGAAGTAGTGGTAGTGGTACTAGTAGTACTAGTTCTAATAGTAGAAGAGGTAGAAAAAGACGTCGTGGTAGTAAGAATAATAATAGTAGCAGTAGTAGTAGAGGTAGTAGTAGTAGTAGTAGTAGTAGTAGTAGTAGTAGTAGTAGTAGTAGTAGTAGTAGTAGTAGTAGTAGTAGTAGTGCTACTAGTAGTAGTAGCAGTAGCAGTAGCAGTAGCAGTAGCAGTAGCAGTAGCAGTAGCAGTAGCAGTAGCAGTAGCAGTAGCAGTAGCAGTAGCAGTAGCAGTAAGCACTCCGGCTCAGCTGTGTCCCAGCAGCGGGACTTATAGTTGTGGAGATGTAGCATCTATGCCATGGAGCGAACCTTGCGGTGGAGTCCGGCTCCGAAACGTGACGATCACAGTCCTATAGTGCAGCGAGCCGCATTAGCGCTACTGTTGACGCTCGCCAGCTGGGTGCCTTTTGGCCCCAACAAAGGGCGCATGGGTCGACTGAAAGCCTTTGCCCCTGGCTTGCCAACGCAGTCTGAAGCTAGCCCCGTTGCAAGTGCGTGTTTACCAGCAGCTAGGAGTTGGCGCAACTTTTCCTGCAGTTGGTGCAAGCAAGAGGTCGATGCCGCCTGCATCCCTCCTGGGCGCGCGCCGTCAGGCCGCCCCATTGAGAGCACGCTCGTCAGCTGGGTGCCTCTTGGCCCCAACAAAGGGCGCATGGGTCGACTGTGTGCCTTTGGCCCTGGCCTGCCAACGCGGCAGTCTGGCACCATTGCAAGTGCGTGGCTACCTGCGATCAGGAGTTGGCGCAACTTTTCCTGCAGCTGGCGCAAGCATGACGTGGCTGCCACCCGCATTCCTCCTGGGCGCGCGCCGTCAGGCCGCCCCATTGAGCGCATAGTGCCACACCTCCTTATAGATAGCCGGCCCGGTCCCAAGTCCGGGGTGGGATGCCGACTGACGACTCTACTTATATTGCTACATTGTCAGGTGTCCCAACAGTGTGAGGGTTCCAGCTCTTTCCGTTGGAGCTGGGGAAGGCAACTCCCTTGCCTATCAGCGACGACTTCAGGTGCCGAAGCTAGACGGAGTTCAGGTCACAGATGGGAAGCAGGGACCTACTCACAAGTGGAACCGATGTGTCAAGAGATCCTTTATGCCAGCTTGCAATAGAGCTACTCGACATTGCCAAGCGCAGCCCTTGTGCCTGTGTACCTCTAGTTCAGATACCCGAGGAGTGTGTAGCTGCAGATCATCGCTGCCTTGTCCCGAATGCTGACCGACTGCCGGCGGCGGCAACCTACCCTATCCTCGGATGGGATGGCCCGCACTCGGCCCCGGCCCCACGTATGCTTCGAGATGTGGTCTGGGTTTTGACGTTACGTCCTTCCGGGTCACAGTTAGTAAGTGCGAGAAAGCTGTGTTCTGGCGACGCTCTGCGGCCAGACCTTTCTTGGGTACTGAACTACACGGTCCCCAGTGTGCCCTCCAAGGGCCACTTGCAGTTCACAGGACTACAGGGCGCTGAACGTGGTCCTCAGTGCGCCTCTTGGGGCCACTTGCAGTTTCATAGGACTACAGGGTGCTGTGCGTGGTCCTCAG